AAGGTCCCTGGAGTCGCCGGCGTGGCCCTTGCCCTGGGCTCCGAGGTCTAGGAGTCTCCCTGGCTGTGTCCTGGCAGCGTCGGGTGGGGGCATGGCGCGGGAGGCCGTGGCTAGAGCTGGGAAGCGTTATGTCTGCTAAGGTGGGATGAGGACCATGGAGAGTCATTGTTCCACCTGACTGGACGGCTGGGGAAATATACAGACACTGGGCTCATCAGAATAGCCTTGCGGGGAGGTGCGGGAGGGCTCCATGATTAGCAGGGACGGGATGGACGAGTCTGATAAGCCCTTCTAGGAGCGATCGGCATAGTGGATCTTTCAGGTCAATTGAGAGCTCAACGTCGGGGCCTGCCGGCCTTCTGTAGGGCCCCCTCCATGTAGAGATGGTCCCGTCTGGCCCCTCTCCCATGCTGCACCCATCTGGCCGTCCAGGGTCGCTCTCGGGGGCTGCAGAGTGAGCTGGTGGGCATGGCCCCGGGAGAGGTGGGGGTGTGATTGGGTTATTCCCTTGGGATGGGACTGTGAGCCGGTGCTGGCTCTTACTACCCTCCCAGAAGCAGGGAGCTGGTAGGGGGTGGGCAGCAGGGCTCCCTTAGTGACGATTCCCTAGTGGGGAGGGTCCATAGCCCACCCCACTCGGTTCCCAGGTTCTGGCAGAAGGTCTGTTAGGAGAGCGTGTGATGCTGATGCAGATACAGTATAAGCCGGTATCTGGTGTTAAGTGAATGCTGGCAGCAGTCTCCCCCTTGTGCGGAATTGCTTGCGTAGCTGCTAGGTTGCTTGGAGCTCTGCGTGTGGGTGTGTAAATCCGAGAACGAGGAGATCTGGGGAGGAGGAGCCCGGAAGACATTTAAGGCAAAGGTCTTTTCTTCCAACCCTTTACTGGATGAAAGGAAGGAAGGAAGGCTGGTCTGGAGGGTAACGCGCTGCAGCGGGGGGCGGGGATCTCCAGGTTGTGCTCCCTGCTCTGACACCGACTCGCTGTCTGACCGGGGGCAAGTCGCTTAAGCCACTTTCTCTCCAAAAGGGTCTCTTAATTTTGGGTGCCCATCATGAGACCCCTTGGGCCTGATTTCTGAGCACATGCTGCTTCCGTCAGCTGTAACGGCTGCTCAGCACATGATGAAAAATCCGGCCCAATTATCTTATGGCCGGCACCCGAAACTAATGGGACACCTTTGAAAGTGTTGTTCTTAAACGCTCCGTGCCTCAGTTTCCCCATCTAATTTGTTCCCACCATGGGCCCATGTAGGACAAACTACATGCTGTGTGAATGCTACAGGAGCAACCTGCGTTTACATATTATCCCTCTGTGAAATCAAAACGTGGACTTGCATAGTAAAAGCGGTTCCTTTCATATAGGGAGGTCCAGACACATGTACCCTCCAGAAATATGGCCCTCCTGTGCCATCCTAACATGCATGCCCTTTTCGCTGGTGTAGCAGGATTCCATTCATCCATCTTCGCCTGCCTACAGTTGACGGATCGCTGATTGCTTTGCTGTGTATTGAACATCTCTTCACCTGGTAGTTTTCACTGTCTGCCCTCATTGTGCACACCAGCTCTCTGTAGGACTTGGGGGCAGAATAGATCCTCAGCTGGTATAAAGCTAGGAGCCCCCAGGCTCCAATCTTTCCCTGCGTATTGTGCCAACAGAGTGGCAGGCACTTTGCAGATCAGTAAGAGGGGCTATCTGCTTCCTAGACCTTACCCGCCACCTAGACAAAGCAGGGATGGTGGGGCAGGGGGAGGAAAGCCCATGTCACTGAGTGGGGAGGTCAAAATGCCTTTTGTGTTGCCCTGCCCTGTCCAGGTGTGGTGTTAAGCCCTGATGGGGTGGGAGAAGTGGGTTGCCTTGGAGCAAAAGGTGGAGGCGTATTGCAGTGGGGGTTGTAAGCAGAATGGGATGGGGGAGGCAAGGACTGGGCAAGGTGCTCTGGACTGGGGTGGGGCTGGTATTGATTGTAGTGACCAGACCAAGGCAGGCATGAGGCCAGGCTCCCCGTTTCCAGTAGAGATCCCTTTACTCCATTCCTCGAAAGAGTCCCACTTCAGCTGGTCCCCCCACAGCTCTAACCTCAGGCGGACTGGCAGGGAGCGCATGCACGCTGCTGCCTGCAGATCTGGCTCCCAGAGGCGCAAGTCTCTGGGGGGAGACGGGCTGTGGGTTTGGATGTGGAGCAGGGCGATTGCTTGTGGCTCCCTGTGAGTGACGCTGCCAGAGAAAAAGGAAACCTAGGTCTCGGAGAAGGATGCTCTGCCTCATGACAGCAGCTGCTCAGTGGCTGATCCTGAAAACCCTCTCTGGAGACACGCTGCTGGGAAAGTGGGAAGGGCTGGGGGAAAGAGATCGCCTGCGTGAAGAGCCTGGGCCTGGACTAGTATGGTGGTGGGGAGCTGTGGGTTGGGCGTGAGGGGCAGCGGCAGAGCTGGGGTGACAGGACTGGAAAAGAAGGGGGCTGTGGGTTGGGCTTGAGGGGCATTGGCAGTGCTGGGGAAGTGGGGGGCCAGGACTGGAATAAGCAGGTGCTGCAGGCTGGGAATAGGGGCATTGGCAGAACTCAGTGTGTGGGGAGGGGAGGGGCAGGGGGCCAGGACTGGACTAACCGGGCGGGCTGCGGGTCGGGATCGGGGCGCATCACAGAGCTGTGTGTGGGAAGCCAGCGTGGTGTCTGCCCACACGGGCACCATCCAGTGCCAGGCAGCTCTATCCTCCTCTGCCTTGTACCGGCTCCTCCATAAATCATCTGAGCATCCTTCAGTCGGCTCCCGAGAAGCGACCTGCCCCAGTGGCCGGGGCAGAGAAGCCAGTTCTGCCTCCCCATAGACAGACACCCTTCTCCCCACACCCCTGTTGAACGCCCGCCGCTCTCCTGCCTCTGGGAGCAGCCCCGCTATTAAAGCCGAAGCAGCAGGCCTGAGGCCATTAAGCATGGTGATCTCCTGCCTACTAGGAGGAGCTTTTGGCTTATGTGCCATCCTCATCCCATTTAGAGTGCATGAGCTGAGCTGTGTTAATCTGCCAGGGCTGTCTGTGCTCCTCCCCCACCCCTCACCCCGGGAGGCCCCCGATAGGCGCATTAAGGCTGTGACGCTCCCAGGCTGTCTATGAACATAGATTCTCCCATCTGTTGGGGGAGGGGGGGGCTCTCTGCACAAGTTGTCCTCGCTTCTCGGCCCCGGGAAGATACAAAGGCTTAAAATAGAGCCCTGGGGAAGAGACAAAGGAGCAGATCGGGGCCATGCAGGCTAATCCCCAGCTGGCGCTGGGGGCGTTGGATAACCCTATTACACGTCCGGGATTAGCAGGCAGTTGGGGCCGTGAGGCCGATGCCCTGTGCGGCAGCATCCGGGCAAGCAACCTAACTAGTTTTAAGATCCATGGAGCTTGATTTGTGGATGGGGTGGCCTGCCACACCAGGGGACTGGATTCTCTGACCCAGGAGGTCCCTTCCGGTCCTGTGGTTCCGACGATCTTCTCCGACCCCCGATGCCCCTGAGCCTGTGGTTCTCTCTGGCTCTTGGCTAACACAGCCTATGCTAGCCCCACGCAGGCTCTCCTGAAGTCCTGGGCAGGGATCCAGCCGTTGTGGGATGGATGGCGGGCTACGCTACACCCTCTCCAAACACTCTATTCAATGGGGCATCTAGATAGAAGGGACTAAAGGCTCGGACCCCTGAGTCCTTAATGGAATTAACTAGTGTTAGGAACCTCCCAACTCTGCTTCCCCTTCCTGTGGTTCCGTCTGCTGTTTAGGCCCTGGGATTCGGGGGGTTAGATGACTCTGAAGGGCTCTGTTTTTTCTGTGCTCTCCTGGGATCTTTCCATGCCACTGGCCTTATAGGAACGGCTGAGTTACGAAGGTGAAATTCACCCCTGTGCAGCAAAGGGCCAGGATGGGGGGTGCACAGATCTTGAGTCCCACTTAACGCCTTCCCCATGGGGCTTGAGAGGCGAGTTTCACGCCGCCTGGGGGGCTGATCATGTGTGCAATGGAGTCCGGGTGACAGGCAAAGAGAAGCTGCTGCAGGGCCCCGTGCTGCGTTTCCTGGGTTTTCACTGTGAACCCACGGCCCGGCGTGTGTGTCTAGTCGCTGTAACAAAGGCGGCTCCTGGGCGCTCATGCCAGCTGAGCTGCTGGGGCGCTGCCTGTCACCCTGGAGGAGGGAGAGTTCCTTGACCTTGTGAAAACTGGGGAATGGGGGGGCCCTCCCTGAAAGCCAGGTGCAAGAAATGAGCTATTTCCTGGCGGAGCGGATCTGAGTGCAGACAGTGTACTGCTCAGATCCGCCCCGCCAGCCAGCGGGTAGAGCCGTGGCCCCTGCCCCGAAGAGCTGGCAGCCACCCCAGAGGCGCCCAGCACAAGGGCACCAGAAGCTGGATGGAAACCCCAAAGGAATGGGGCTGTTTAGGCGGTGGGTTCGTCGCGATGGGCCAGGCCCCAAACGTCTCTTTGACCTGGCTGAGCAGGGCTGAGCAAGCTCTTTGTGCCTAAGGACTAAGAGCTCGGTGGGGCGTGGATCGAGGCGGGGGGAGTCCACAAGACCGTCTCTGGGAGAAGCTGGAGAACCCCCTGATGCAGCACAATGAATGGCACTGACGGGTCTGGGATCAGCCACTGCTGGTCCCGGCGTCCCAGATTGACATGACTCTTGGGTCTAGCTGGGGGTGGGGATTCCAGGTGCCCCTCTCGGGCAGGCAGCTAAAGCTTCGGTGGCAAGCTTTCAGTACTTTGATGTGGCTCAGGCACTGGGCTAGGACTCAGGAGACCTGGGTTCTATTCCCGGCTCTGCCCCTGGCCTGCATATTGACTTTGGGCAAGTCGCTTCACCGCCCCGTGCCTCAGCTTCCCCGTCTGTAAAATGCGGGCAACGATACTGACCTCCTTTGGTAAAGTGCTTTGAGATCTTCTGATGGCATGCACTGTTTAAGAACTGGGGATTATGGCTATTAAAGACTTGGCAAAGGGGCTCATCCATGTCTGTCTCTCCTCCTGCAGCCAAGCATGCCGTCAGCGGGAACGCGACGCTCCCGCCGTTCCCAGAGGGAATGCAGATGGCCATTTTCGGTGTGTGGTTTGTTCCCTCTCCCTTCTCTAACTTGGCGGTGGGGCACCGGCTGGGTGAGAGTGCGGGCTGCCCCCTCCTCCTTCCCTCTAGAACTCGGGCCAGAACAGCAGCCGTCCATTGGGACCAGAATGGGCCGTATGGGGGGGAGGATGGCAGGATGAGGGGGGAGAGCTATCAGGCCCCCTGGAGTCTATTCTCCAGCCCGAGAGCTGAAGCTGCCCCCTCTGTCCTGGGGATGCTGTTTCACAGCCTAGATCTCACTACCGATAAGCAATTGCTGAGTCTCAGTCCAGTTCCTCACCTTCATTCATCACCTCTGATCAGCCCGTCCACCCACTGCCAACAGCCCCTTTCTGGCGGGCTCCCCCATTCACAGTCCTGAAGGCTATTAAGGGCCAAGTGGGTCCCCCACTTTCAGATCAGTGGGAGAATTTGATCTGATCGGAGACTCTGTAGTACCCCGTTGGACGCACGCAGCATTCACCCACCTCCTCTGCAGACCCTGTAGGTGTCTGCGGTGTTAAAAGCCACATGTTGAACTAGGGACCAACCCCAGCCATTATGTCTGGGCGTGGCGCGCTCATTGAAGTCAATGGCCGTTGTGCATGGGTGGCCTAGAGAGCAGGAAAGGGACATGCTCCAAAGCACGTTGTGTCCTGGCAGGGTTGGGCTGAGGACGAACTGCCGCTCCCTGGTTTCAGATTAAGCTCTTTGCATTGAATTCACCTTCTCGATCTCCTGTTCTTTCCAGGCATGGGATGTTTTTGGGGAGCCGAGAAGATGTTCTGGAAGTTGCCGGGCGTCTTCTCCACCCAGGTGGGCTATGCAGGAGGCTTCACCCCAAACCCCACCTACAAAGAAGTCTGTACAGGTAACACCTCGCTTCTCTTCTACTTGGGGAACTGGCTTCCTCCATAACACGGGCCGCAGGACTTCCCTGTGCAAACGAGAGCAGATCTTTTAGGAAAACATCCCATCTTGATTTTAAAAATGGCCGGTGATGGAGAATGACCCTCGGGAAATTGTTCCAGTGGTTAATGACTCTCACTGTTAAAAATGTTACTCCTTATTTCCCGGCTGAATGTGGCTCGCTTCAACCTCCAGCCATTGTCGTGTTAGACCTTCCTCTGCGAGATTACGAAGCCTATTAGCAAATATTTGTTCCCCAGGAAGGTTCTTATAGACTGATCAAATCACCCCTTAAACTTCTCTTTCTTACCTAACTAGATTGAGCTCTTTGAGTCTATCGCTATATGGCAGATTTTCCTAATCCTTTAATCATTCTTGTGGCTCTTCTCTGACCCCTCTCCAATGGATCAACAGCCTTCTTGACTTGTGGGCACCAGAACAGGACACCGGATTCCTGCAGCAGTCACACCAGTGCCAAATACAGATGTAAAATAACCTCTCTACTCTTACTTGAGATTTCCCTGTTTATGCATCCACAGATTGCATTAGCCCTGTGGACCACAGCGTCGCACTGGTCATTCATGTTCAGCTGATTATCTACCCCCTTCCCCAAATCTTTTTCAGCATCCCTGTTTTCCAGGATAGAGTCCCCCATCATGTTCATACGGCCTACGATCCGTGTTCCTAGATGGATGCATCTGCATTTAGACTTATTCAAATGCATATTGTGCCCAGTTTACTAAACGATCCGTATCGTTCTGGATTAGTGACCTGTCCTCTTTGTTATTTATCACTCCCCAATTTTTGTGTCAGCTGCAAACTTTATCAGTGAGGATTTTATGTTTTCTTCCAGGTCATTGACAAAAATGTTAAGTAGTGTAGGGCCAAGAACCGATCCCTGCGGGGCCCCACTAGAATCACACCCACTTGATGATGATTCCCCATCTACAGTTGCATTTTGAGATCTATCAGTTAGCCAGCTTTTAATCCATTTAACGTGTGCCATGTTCATTTTATACCATTCTAATTTTTTTAATCAAATCGTTGTGTGGTACCAAGACGCATGCCTTACAGAGGTCTGAAGTATATTACATCAACACTATTACCTGCATCAACTAAATTTGTAATCCCGTTTAAAAAAATAACAAGTTAGTTTGACAGGACCTATTTTCCATAAACCGACGTTGATTGGCATTAATTATATTACCCTTTTTTAATTGTGTTAATCGAGTCCCATATCAGCCGCTCCATTATGTGGCCCAGGATCAATGTCTGACTGACTGGCCTATAATTCCTGGGTCATCCCATTTAACCTTTTTAAATATTGGCACCACATCAGCTTTCTTCCAGTCTTCTGGAACTTCCCTAGTACTCCAAGACTTACTGATGATCCTACACGTGTCTATACAATGCCATCTGTCTCAGTGCTTTACACACTGTACAGTAACTGCTTCAGCTAGTGCTGAACTGCAGCTGCTTCTGGGGTAGAACATGGCTGCTGTTAACAGCGTGCAGCAACGGGATGGCTCAGGATAGGAAGTGTAAAGTGCTGGATTCAGTTGAAATTGCAGTGAGAATTTAGAGAGTTAGAATGGAATTCACCAGTTCAGTTTGGTTGGGACATAGTGGCTTATACCCTGTCGTAGGATTTTTAATAATCATTGCGTGAGTGGAAGGTGCATGTCAGGATTTCTGCTTTGTCTCCTCCAAAAGATGGCAGCACAGTGCCACCTAGTGTGAGGGCATAGACTCGGAAGGAGAGTGCCGTCTAACGAATTGCCAGCACTGCTTCCTGCAGCACCTGGCTTTTCCTTGGAGATCTGCCATCCGTGTTCGGATCGGCTCCAAGCCGGCTGAACATATGAGAACTGATGGGCGAGGAGGTAGGCTCCAGAGTGGTAGAATTACAAGTGCAACATTTTAAGTGGTGACGCCAGGCTGTCAGAGCCCATGCTGCAGGGATGGCGTGTAGGTGGCAGGAGAAGCAGCCATCCCTTCTGGGCTGCCAGCGCGAGAGTCTCCTCTGAGCCGGTGGATACTGTCTCGCTGACCTGCCAAACGCCCATTTCCCCAAGTGTGACTTCGGTTCAGTGAAGTCCAACGGGGCCAGTTTGTGGCTTTTCGCTCCCCTTCCCCAGAAGCTTATCCAACCCTAATGCGAAATGCGGCCTCTCAGGGCCCAGCTCTCTCATCGCTTTGGGACAGTGCTGGCCTTCATCTGCTGTGCAGAGGGGTAATAGCTTTGTTCGCCCTTAGTGTCCTGTCTTTTGAAGAGGCGGAGGGATACCTCTTGCGAGAGATGTGCCCTTTTAGGAAGCTATCAAACGTTCAGCCGGGAGAGGAGGCCGTTGTCCTGTTCTAACACGGCCCTCTGGAAACAGGACCTGGGATGCGGTAAAGCAATAAACGAACACGAAGCCAGGTTGGCCCAGCTAAGCCAGCCATGCAGACCATGGGTGGGATGTTCAAGAAGGTCTGATGGAGTGACCCAAATAGAAAGGCCTGGGACACAGGAGGTACTTGGGTCTGGAGCTACTGGGGCTTGCTCTGAAGTTTGGGGGTTGGGTCAGAGGATGCTTCCCATTGAAGCCTGAGCTGGGCTGTCTTGGGGAGAGGCGGCCACTCGAGCACCCCCAGCTTGTGTTAATAAGGGCTTGATTATCCGGTTGATGAGACCGTCAGCTGAGGGCTAATGTGAACCCCCTCTAACCACGGAGCCAGGCTCTCCCCGGGCCCAGTCCACGTGGGGCTGAGCCATAGGGATGGGTCTGGATGTGACGTTTCCTAAATCCCCAGGGTGATCAGATCCAGGGCCTGGCTCGAAGGAGCGGCACAACAGACATCCCCACCCCCAGGCTGAATCCCATGGTGCCTGCCACATTCCGAGCTGTGGGCCCCCTTCCCCGACAGCACCTTCTGAAGCGCATCAAGCAGTCAGCGGTCACAGGCTGGACCGTGTGATTGAGAAGCCGAGTGTAGGACCTACATCCCAGGCTTGCAGCTGCTCCCTTTGGGATTAGCATGTCCCGTTGGTGACTGTGTGCCCCCAGTGTTTAAGCGAGTTGGAGGCTCGGGGAAATGCCGTGGCTCTCTTGATCTGAGGTCCAGAGATCACTGTGTACAATACCCTGGAAGCAGGTACCCGACACTGGGCTTTTGAATGAGGCTGACTGGATGAAATCTAAACTCCTTGCACGGGGGGAAGGAGGGAGGAGGTGTTTTTCTGGTGGTCTCCTTTGCAAAATGACTGGAATCTGACCATTCAACTCCGTGACTTCTCTCCTCTCCCCTCCCCTGAGCATCACCCACTCAGCAGCAGGGCTAGGAAGTTAGTGAAACCCGGGTGCTACTTCTGGCTCTGCCATAACTCTCCATGTGACCTTTCTCCAGGCCTCAGTTTCCCCATCTGTAAAGTGGGAATAATACTGACCCAGTCTCTGATTTGCTTATGGCTTTCCCCAGCCGTAGGTTGCCTAGCCCCCCGTTATCCAGAACCTCCACTAGATTCTAGAGCCACTGTCCAGAGCAGCTGTTAGCATGAAATTGAGGGGGATTTTGTTAATGAACAGCAAGAGGTGCTGCAGTGCGGTGTGCTAATGGATTAGCCTTCCTAATAAATCCCCCCCGCCCACTTCCCCTTCTCTCGCCAGCCCCGCCCCCCCAAACTCATCAGAAATCTGAACAGACGGTTTCATGTCTTATCTGCAAAAACATTCCGCACACTGGTGCGGAGGATTACCTGTCTGCAAGAAATATTATCTGCGTCTGTCGTCTCAGTTCTGGGTATTAACATAATGCAGTGGGGGAGGGAGCGTCTTATCCCCCTGCACGTAAGGAGCGACTGAAACGACTGCGCAAAGCGGAGGCGGTGTCCCCCGGGTGCAGGGGCACTGGCGGGAGTTTGGCGGGGCTGGGCAGGTCAGGTGAGCTGGTGTGAGGGCGTGGGTGAATGTGCAGGCTGCTTCTGCTGCCAATCCAGCCCAGGTTGGTGACGGTCAGCAAATCTTTGTTGCCCAGTGCACTTTGATAGCAGGTGAAATGAGTTTGCTGGGTCTCAGTCCAGTTCCTAGCGGGGTGAAGGCTGAGATCACAAAACCCACCACTGCAACGGGTGCTGTTGGCTCCCTGAACACCTTGTTGGCAGGTTGAAGGTTCGATAGGTTGAATGATCCAGGGCAGGCGGTGCTGGGGTTTGGGGGACAGTGGGCTGGGGTGCTGCAAGGGACCTGTCCCTGCTCTGCCTGCTTTGTGGGGGAGAGAACCTCTGTCTGCAAGGCTGTCAATCCAGCACCTTTCCCCAGCCCCGCAACTCACCCACTTGTTAATTTCAGCCGAGAGAATATTCCCTTTGGGAAAAGTCCCCCGTCGAAGTGAATAGAACATTAGATTTCTACAAGATGGATTAAAAAAAGAAACCGCCTGTGGGAAAGATCTCCTCTTCCATTAAACTCGGTCGGTTGTAGAGTAATTTCTGCAGCATCCAAATGACTTCACCCCTGTTAAATCTGTTAGGACTTTCCCCATAAGGGCTTATGTAAGCCAGTGTCTCAGATCTTGTAAAATCTGGTGGGGGCATTTATGCTCTGCCATCTCTACCTAGCCCCGGTCTGTGATGAGCTGGCCACGAGGAAATGGACTGTAGTTACCAGGCGGCTTCCAAGCTCAGGCTTCGTCTGTACTGGTAGCCGGAGCTGGGGAAGCGGAAGACAAATCCCCTAGTTTGTTGCCCTTCTCCAGCACTTTCTAGCCAAAGATCTCCGTGCTCCCCAGCTGCTAAAGGCAGTGAACTTGTGCAGCCGGCCCAGGCCAGATGCATTGTTTACCTATTGGGACTCCCATCCAGGAAACCGCAGCCTCGCTCGGCCCACTTAGCCTGAGGGCTTGTTGTGCTGTCCCGGTCGGCAGACCGAGCTGACGCTCCTGTGGGCGGATCGTGACCCTCTCCGGTAGGCGGCGGAGTGATGCGTAGCACTCCTGCCCATGGGGCATTTGCCGTACAGTAACCACCGCGCTCTGCCTTGTGCTGTGTCCCCCCCCATTTCTGCCCCTCTCCGGTAGCACGGCCTTATGACCCGGTAAGAGCAGCAGGAGCCTCACTGGGACCTGCCTGTGGGACAACCACTAGAGTCATTCGGGGTCATCTTGATGCTCTCCTTAGCCGCAGCTGTGAGATTCGATTGACACCCCGCGCCCCGGCAGCACCATCCTTGGAGCAGGGAGTAGAATCCAAATGTTGCCAATGAACGGGAACGTGGCTGGCTCTGCCGCTGGCCTGGAGCAGCGGAGCAGTGCAACAGGACGTGTCTCCTGCCCAGCCGGTGGGGATGCTGGGCCCTGGTCCGGGGAGAGATGAGGGAAGATTACTTTGGAGTGGGGGGAGGGGGAGAGGGCAGGAGCCCAACCCATCAGATAGCTGAGAAGCGTGGGCAGGATGGTTGTCTTGGGTGGAGAGGTGTCCGCCCTGCTCCTGTAGGGAGAGCTAGTGGCTGATCCCAGAGAGGCAGAAATCTGGAGATTTCCTGAGGAAGGTACGGTCAGTTGCAAGGCTCAGAATGATCTTTCTGGAGCAGAACAGCCCTTCTGGAGGGGAGGGAAGTATTGATGTTCGCTCTCCCCCCCCCCCCCCCCCCCCAACACCTCCCTGGCTTTGCAACACTTGGAAACCTGTGCTGCTCGGTGGCCTGTGGTGGGTCCCTAGCTCACCGGCATGGCTCTGCTGTGCATCTCTCCCTGGAGATGCTTTTCCTCTTGCCAGCTGGTTGGCTGAGGCTACCAGACGGCGCTGGCCTCCCTCTGTACCTCTCTGTGCTGGGCAAGAGCGACATCTCAATGTAGCCTGACTCCCGGGCTTCCCCCTTCCTTCCAATGCTGCTTGAGCCGGGTCGGGGGCTCGGCCTTGTGAAGTGGGGCCGGGTGAAATGTATCTGCCAGGCAGCCTAGGGGCCGCATTGCTTTTAAAAGCCGGTTGCAGAGGTGAGGCCGTTGCTTGGCACTAAGGACACGGCCGTGGCTCACCAGGCTACAGGAGTTTGATGGAGTGCTAGCATCCCTGGCCACTGCACCATGGACCGGGCAAGTCATGCAGCTGGGAGGTACGGAACAAAAAGCCATAGTGAAGTGCAGGGCCCCTTGGAGTCAGGAGGCCTGGCTTCTGCTTCTGACTCTGCCACCGATGGGCCGAGTCGCTTTAGCGAAGTCACGCCACCTTTCTGTGCCTCAGTTTCCCCCTTTGCAGTGCGAGAGTACGAGTCAGTCAGCTTTGTGATGCCTACTCAGATCCCGGGCTGCAAAGAGCTATAAATGGTGGACTCTTCCGGCTGCTGGGTGGCGAAGGAAAGCGAGCGCAGTGGGAATGGGGAGATCCTGTTTATAAACAATTTGAGAGACGGCTGAGCGCTCCTTGTGGCTTTAACTGCCAACACTAGCGCCAGCCCGGCTGCGTCGGAAACACCGGCAAAGGCCATCGCCTGCTGGCCGCAACACCTCTGCTGCTGCCTTAGCCTGGCTTTTCCCCCTCTGGTGTAGCAAAAGGGGGGAGTTGTTGCCTGGAGAGCAGAGCTATCCGCTTCAATCACCTCGGTAGATCACAAACCTGGTTGGCGGCAGCCGTTGACGCCATCCGGCATCACCATACCTGGGGCTGGGCAGGGGCCGGAAGTTCCATTTCACAGAGATTTTGAGACTTTGGCTTAGTTCTGAATCAGAGCAAAAACTAGAAAAGTTGAAGAAAAAAATTGTTTGGACCAAAATCAAAGCATTTTGTTTCCATTTTAAGGGGTTTAGTTTTGTATTGTGTATATTATACAACAAAATATGTGACCCTCTGGTTTATATTGTACTAGCCCCATTGTGCAAGGAGCTGTACAAACAGTTCCTGACGCGCTTACAATCTGAATAGGCAAGACAGACAAAGGGCAGAAGGGGAATCAGTGGCGCGCACAAAGGTGATTTGCCAATGGTCAGTGGTGGAGAACCCAGGGCGTCTGAGTCCCAGTTCAGTGCCCCACCCTGGAGACCAGCGGTTCTCAGCTGGGGGGTCTGCGGCCCCCTGGGGGTCCTGTGCAGGTTTCAGGGGATCACCAAAATAAATCAGAGAGCAGGGCTAGCATTAGACTCGCTCAGGCCCAGGACAGAAAGCTGAAGCCCAAGCCCTGCCACCCGGGGCTGAAGCCAAAGCCTGAGAATTGTGGGGTCCCCTGTGGCATGGGGGTCCTGCGCAACTGCCCTGCTTGCTACCCCCCAACGCCGGCCTTGGCTTTTATATGCAGAAAACCAGCTGTGGTGGCCCCAGGCGGGCCGTGGAGTTTTTCTAGCATGTTGGGGAGGCCTCAGAAAGAGACAGGTTGAGACCCCCTGCTGGAGCCCCACGCTGCCTGCCTTTTAGATCTGGACCCTATGAACTGATCTAAAGCAGACTCTCTGTCTTATGGAGCCTATGACACACACTGGAGAGTGCTGCCTCCATGCCAGCTGGGGCAGACTCGCTAGCCACAACAGAAGCGAAAAAGTGAAGTCCCTTTTCTGGGCGCAGCCGACGGTCGGTGTCTCTGCTGCAGGGCGGTGGGGTTTTCACAGCCAGGGCTGTACCCCTTGGTGGGGGCTTACACTGGATAATAGGTCATAGCAGCCGGCGGCTGCTGCCCGTCCCTGCCCCGGCTGCTGGCACGGCTCGCTGTTTGTGTAGCAGACTCAGTCATCGCCTCCTTGGGCTCCCCACGCACCCCTTCCTTCCCCAATTTCTATGCTGGCCCCCACCCCCCTTGAGGTTGCTGATGCTAAAAAGACCAGTGTCATCTCCCAGCCCCTCGGAGTGGGAAGCATCTGTAGCATTAGCAATCTTTAACTATCCCCACCCTTAACTACTGAGTGTCCCAAGCACGGTCCCCACCAAGGAGAGGGTGCAGTCTAGTGGTTGGAGGAGAAGAGACCAAGATTCAGGCCTCTTGGCAGGTCTGGGAAGGGAGCATGGCCCAGTGGTTGGAGGAGAGGAAGCTGGCTTCTGTTCCTGTCTGGGGGGGAAGGGGGTGCTCTTGCTGGTAGAGCAGGGGGATTGGAAGTCAGGACTCCTGGGTTCCTGTCACTGCTCGGGACGACAGTGTGGTTTAGTGGTTAGAGGAGGAGACTGGGTGTTGGGACACTGTGATCTGCGACGATTCTGGCTCTGTCACTGACTTGGGGTGCGACCTTGGGCGAGTCACTCCCCTGCTCGGTGCCTCAGTTTCTCTGTCTGTGAAATGGGACAGATGCCTACCTGCCTCGGGTGCTGGAAGGTAGGCCCCATGCCTGTGATGAAAGGTGCTATAGAAGGGCGAAATGCAATCATGGAATGGCTGCTGTGATCTAGCCGGTGGTGGTGCCATTAATTGGGGGTTGGGGGGGAAGGGTTTCTCTCACAGCAGCCATCCAGCGATTCCATTTCGCCCTTCTAGAGCTGTTGTCTGCAGACTTGAGGGTATGTCCCCTCCTACACACCGTACCGCCATCCTAACATCTCTGGCCCTGCGCTCCCCTCCCTTTGGCCCTGTCTTGTGATTGCTGTGCTCCTGGGCGCCAGGGCCTGACAGTCCAGCGAGGTGCAGTCTCCCACCCACGCAGCTCCCTCTGGCCCCCCTGCCATTCCAGGCCTGTCTCCTCCTCCCCCCCCGCCCCCGGCCACCTTCTGCTCCAGCATTAGCCCCCTCCTGAGCAGTGAGCATGGACGACACCACGTCATGTGATGGGCTCTAGGCCTAGAATTGCCGGACTTCTCCTCACCTGAGCCAGAATTGGCGTGGGGTGTGAAAGGCACACCTCACCGCCGCCGAGCAGCGTCCCCTCTTGAGCAAGGGGCGCTTAAGCGCTGGGTAGGAGCCGAAGCCAGACGAAGACGGACCGGAAAGAAGGCGCACGTGTCCAGCCGTGAGGGCAATTAACCATTGGTTTCCCGAGGGCTGTGGTGGATTTGGATTCTCCGTCACCAGCCATTTTAGAATCAAGATGGGATGTTTGTCTAAAAGATCTGCTCGGGGGATTATTTTAGGGGCGCTCTCTGGCGTGCGTTGTACGGGAACTCCGACTAGTTGATCCCAGTGGTCCCCTGTTGGCCATGGAGCCTATGAATCGTGGTTCAAATTGCTTTAAAACCCAACGCTTGGGGACCACAGAACAGGCCGTTGCTCAGCATCTCGGGCTAATTTATCACGGGCGAGCGTCCTCCTGCAGATGGATTTCTGTGGCTGGGGGCAGAGCCGCTGCTGAGCAGAGGGGGCTGTTTAACCTCTCTCCTCTCCCCCCAGGTCTGACCGGACACGCGGAAGTGGTCAGGGTTGTGTACGACCCACAGAAGACCAGCTACGAGGCCCTCCTCAAAGCCTTCTGGGAGAACCACGACCCCACCCAAGGTAAGGCTAGGGGACTCTGTGTCCGTAGGGTCAGCGAGTGGTGCCAGAGGCAGCCGCTGTAACCACCTGTGTAGACTCGGGTTTTCGGCTGCAGCTCCCTTCCCCCCCCTTTTGTCAGCAGAGATGGAACCTGAGCCATCTTCATCCCCCATACCACCAGCCTGGATCTCTGCAGTGCTCTTGGGGCTTCGATCCTGCCCCTAGGGAGCGACAGGAGCTCGAACCCATGTGACTCTTGTCCGCATTGGGTGCTTGGGGATGAGAGAGACGCTCTCTGCTCACGGTGGGTGTCGCCTGCTTCCATGGGCAGGGAAGACAGAGACGTGTGTAATCACAATCAGGGCAGCCCGACGCCGGGCCTGGCCAGTGACGTGCTGCCTGGAGAACTAGCCCCGTTGTGCCAGGTGCTGCGCACACACCTAGTGAGAGAGTATCTTTATCCCCGTTTTGCAGATAGGGGAAACTGAGGCGCAGAAGGATTCAATGCCTTCCCCAAGATCTCATACGGGGAGTCTGGGTCAGGGCTGGGGATTGAACCCAGATCTCCTGAGTCCTAGTCCAGTATCTTACCCACAAGCCCTGACTCTCCGTCCGTGGGCTGCATTGGAAGTGAAGGACCCTCTGGGACCCACAGCCATTGCTTGGGGTGGGGTGGGTCTGTCTGTGGGCCCCCAGGCAAAGCTGGGTGGTTCCCTCCTGCTTTGAGATCCAGAGCTACTCATCAGTATTAAGGCCAGAAGGGATTGTCATGACCATCTAATCTGACCGCTAGAAGTCACCGTGTCTTGGGGGGGCCGGGGGCACACACTGAGGAGGGATGCCGCATGGACCAGTGCTGCTATTAATCCCTCTTCTGACCAGGCCTTCCACATCTTTCTATTGTAAATCACGTGGTCTCATTCCACTGTCCGCAGCAGTTCCAGCTCTCCCCCCGGCCCCCCCGAAAGGGTTCTCTGTCTCTTTAAATGGCTCCAGCCCCAGGATAGCTCTGCGGCACTGATGGGGATGCTACAGCTGACAAGGGGCCTCGGGAAGCCGGCAGGGGGAGGGGCTCAGCTGCGCAGAGGTGGGGGTATTAAAGAGGAGGCGGGGAGGAAGGACTGTTTGAAACCCCCCTCACGTCGGCGGCGGGGAGGGAAGGGGGAGAGGCCGGGCTGGGGCTCTGTTGTACCGAAGCGTAATTTTAATGAGGAGATTAGCAGTCTCTGCGTGTCGCTGGCCGGCTTCTAATTGCATGTTTGTGTTTTAACGGGCAACGTGTGCCCGTGCCGCGGACGGGCAGTAGTGGGGAGGGGGCGCGGCCGGTGCCACCTACAGGCCCCAAGGGAGGCCGGTGGTTTGTGTTCTGAGAGGGCCCGGTCCAGAGCTTGCAATCGACAGGAGAAAGGGTGGGAGAAATGGAGGCCATGGGGGGTATGGGACTTGCCCACTTGGGGCGGCAAAAATGCTGGAGCCGGCCCTGCTCCTGACCATAGGCCCCCCGGCCCACCAAACTCTTAACAGGCCTGGCACAGAGGGCAGTCCTCTGCCCTCTTATGCCGTCCTCTGCCCTCTCGTGCCTTCCCCCCCCCCAGTCTGGGTGCCTCCCGGGGCTGAGGCCATGGGGGGGGTCGCTTTCCCCCCGTCGAGCCAGCTCCGTGCTGAGCCATCCCCGCTGGGCGCCCAAGTTACCCACACAGGGCCCCGCGTTCCCCCAGAGTTGGGAGGCGCCGAGCAGTTGCTCCCATGGGGTCCCCAGGTCTGGGCCCTGCTTTAGGGCAAGCGTGGGGCCTCTGGCCCCAAACAGCTTCCTTGGCCTCTGCACGCTCTTTGCCTGGCTCCTTGGCTAGCTCAGGGTATTTCCCATATGGTTTTGTATGGCCACCCCTTCCTGCTGGCTGCAGGCCCAGTGCCCTCTGTACGGACTGCTGCCCTTGGAATAGTGCCTCGCAGCTCAGCACGCATCCCCTGTATTCAGCCACTCACTCTGTGGAGTTGGGCCCTGAAGCCGTTGGGGTGGAGTGGGAGAGGAGATTGGTTAACCCTCTGAAGGAACACTCGGACCCCGGGCTGGATTTACAAGCCCTTGGACAAGATGCAGTTGGCCTCAAAGGGCTGCAGGGGAAGGGGTGTGAATGGTTACGCGTCTAGCCTGAATGTAGGGTGACCAGACAGCAAGTGTGAAAAATCGGGATGGGGGTAGGGGGCAATAGGCGCCTATATAAGACAAAGCCCCAAATATCGTGACTGTCCCTATAAAATCGGGATATCTGGTCACTCCAAGCCTGATGCAGCCCCTCCTGGCCGATGTCCCCGCTCGCTATAGCATTGCTCATCTGCGGCACTAAGTGCACATGCCTCAGTTTCACAGATGGGGAAACCGAGGCACAGAGGGGTGCAGTTTCTTGCCCAAGGACATGCATGGTAGAGCTGGGAATTGTGCCATCCCCATGCTTGGACCTGTGGTGCTTCTAGACTCTCCCAGCACCACCAGCTCTGAGGTGCTCCCTGGGCGATCACCCCTGGCTCTCACCTCTGCTGCCCCTTGCCTGCAGCCTCTGCGGGGAGCCCCCGCCGTGGGACCAAAGTCCTCCCAGAAGGAGAGAGGCGAAGAGGGATGAGTAGCCCTGGGCAGGCTCCTCCTAAACACCCCCTTTCCATGTCCTGTGGGGACCAATTGGATCTTTATTCCCCACACACACACACCCTAGATGAACTGGACTTTCCTTGTTTAACCAGATCACCCCCAGCCATGCTGTGGAGACAGGATATTGACACGCCCGCACTGGGAGAGTTTAATACCCATCCATGGCTCCGAACGTCCCTCTCAGCGTGTGATGCCAGGAGCCTTCCAGCTACCACCAGCCTGACCGTCTGCCCCTCCTGCTCACCCCCTGCTCTGACTCCCTTCTCCGTGCAACTCTCCTCTCTCTCTGGGGCAGCTGGACTAGCGGGGGCGGGGAACAGCTCCACTGTCCGATCTCCCTCCACCCTGTGCTGTCTGGTAACAGAGCCTGAGCATGGCCTGATGCTGCCTTCCCTAGGCCCCTCCTGGCAGCTTGAGGGCCCCTACGGCCAGTCCAGCCCGTCCTTCCTGAAGCATCTGGCCTCCAATCCCTCCTCTGCCTCAATAACTCCTAGCCCCCCTCCAGTGCGGCCCGTTACTGCATTGAGCGCCATTCCCAGTGAGTGGCAAACCTGAGCACCGTAATTTATGCAGATTAATAACCGGCAGCAGCCACTGGGCTGACAAGGAGCTCAGAGGGTGCCTTAGATTTGTGTACAGCTGTGATTAACAGCCCATCCTGTGATGGGAATAGTAATTGGAGTGGCGGTGGGGGTGGGGGGCTGTGTGGTCAGCCATGCCACAGATTTGACTTCCTGGCCTGGGCTGAGTTCTCCCTTTTGGAGTTCCTGGTCACTAGAAGGATTGGGTGGGGGCCACATTGAGTCCAGTAGAGCTCTGCCAGTTCCTGCGGGCTGGGCATCTGTATGGACCGACTCCGGGGGAGCTCTGCCGGTTCCCGCCGGCCGGGCGTCTGGCCCC